AATAGTTTCTAATAGTTGGACTTAATTTTTATCAAATCTTATTGAAAATAAGTTCTAATAAAATCGTCGATAAAAATAATTTTTTGTGACAACTTTTTGCATATGTTGCTAAAAAATAACAATTAGTAACTTTTTTATCATGATTTTTATAAATTGTTGCTAAAACTTACAATTAATGACTTTTTCATGATGAATTTTTCAAACTGTCACTACAAGTTGAAAATTAGTGATTTTTTTATGACGATTTTTTTAAACTGTCGCTAAAACTTATAATTAATGATAGTTTTGTGATAGTTTTTTTAAACTGTCACTGGAAATCAACAATTTGCGATGTTCTTTAACACTATTTGATGAAAAAGTCATTAATTATCATAGGATTTATGGAAAAAATGAGTTTACCTAGTAAGATCTACATGTCAGTCCCTTGAAATTAAAGAGAGTCCAAATGGCTCTTTAACTTAGAAGAGCCCATTGCCAAAACTTATTACTTCATGGCTAGGGTCGTAAACGAGCCGAGTTGAGCCGAATTTTGCTGAGTTTGAGTTTGGCTCATTTGCTTATCAAGCTTGTTTATTGAGCTCGAATTCAGTTCGATAAGTAACTGGGTTCAAACTCGGCTTGATAAGATTTTTTTCAAATATTATCTCTATTATTTAAATAAAAAATATTATTTATATTATTTAATATGTAAATAATATATTTATTTTATATAATTTAAATAAAGATAAACGAGTTGAACTTGATGAACCGAGCTTATTCGAGTTCGAACTCAGCTTGTTTACTAACAAGCCTAGTAGAGCCTATTCATGAACAGTTTAGTTCATTTACAGCTCTATTCACAGCCAAAGGGCTCAAGTCCATTTGAATGGCTATATTGATTATATTATATGATCAATATTTGATTATATGATAAATGTAAAAAAGGAATGAAAATACTTGAAATATGTTGAGAAAAAAAAAAGAAAAAAAAAAGGACTAATGGAAGTATCAATGTTGGGAATGAAAAAATTGTAGAAGGGTCCAACCCGATACTTGACTTCATTTAGGTCTGTAAAACTAGGGTCTATGAGGGTTCATTTGGGAAGTGGATTGGCTTTTTAACTTTTTGACTTTTTGGCTATTTTAGTCTGGGGCTAAAAAGCCTTGTTTGGGAAGGATTGTTTTTGGCTTTTTTGACTTTTTGTGATACAAAAAATGTAATGATTATGGGTTGGATGTGATGTTTTGTTTTATTGGACTAAAAAGCCTATTTTATTTTTTTGTAGCTAGAATAACCCCAAACCCAACCCAACCCTTCTTCCCAAATGAAGCCTGAGTGGACTATGGTTTTAATTTTAATTTTGTGAACAAGCCCAACCCAATCTAGCCTGTTGACTAGTTAAAGCCTAGAAGACCTCTATATATAGGGGGAGATTCTATTACTCCCAAAAAATCATAAAGTACACCCTTTTCATTTATTTAAAATTTTACATTATTCTAAGTACACCGTATTATTTTTCCTAAATTACCCTTAATAAACTCAAATAATAAATAATAAAGAAATCAAAAAAAAGTATTTGAAAAACCTTACAACCTGATGCACAGAAGGCACCCGGGAAGGACTCCATAATTAGAGTCGCCATTGACAAGTTTCATCTCTTTGCCTCTGTCTTTTGTATCTCTTTCTTCTCTTGCTCTTTTCCTATAACAGTTTGATGATTACTATGTATTTGACAATTCTATTATTGGTTTGCTATTCTAATTTGTTGATTGCTATGTGTTTGAAAAAATGCTTAAATGAGAAAACACTCTTACACATTGGTTTTTTAGTATGTTGGAGCTCTCACATATTTCAGTTTATTTTTTTTCTTTAATGGAATTTGTTTCATCTATATTTTAATGTAAAGTTATTTCTTTATTTATAATGATAATGTAAATGGTTTGATTTTTATATGAATATTCACCTCCTCTTTGATGGGTTGCTTTAAAATATTATCTTGATTATCATTTTCCTCTATTGTTTGATTGTTCAAACTTTTTTCTAGGGTTTAGAGTATCAAAATAATAATAAAAACAATGATGTTAATGATAATGGTGAGTTTTGCCAAGGTGGATTGAAGTTTTGGAGTGAGAAAGAAGAAGAAGAAAAAGAAGAAGACAAACTAACTTTGATCTCTTAGGGAAGAAAATGCAGGAATTTGAATAGGAATAATGGATTAGGGTGTACCATGAGGGGGAAAAAATTATTTTAGGATTTAACATGATTTGTCCTTATTAGTAAATTCACATTAAGAAATAATAGGAATTAAAATTTATAAATTTAAATTGGGCGTACTGAGATATTTTTTGGATTCAAATAGAATGCCCTATATATGGAACTTGGGCACATTAGTCGCGGGTTGGATAGGCCCAAACTAACCTATTATCTCTACTCAATTTGAATTGTTCATTTTGTTAGATTATACATGTAAATTATTTATGAAAAAAATTCAGATTGATCTAATAATCATGATTACATAATTTCATCAAATTTGTTTTCCAAAAAAATTAAAAAAAGGAATAATTTATTTTTAAAAATATCTTTCTCAACTGTTCTAAAATGAACGATTTATTTCTAGCAACCCACCATCCTTAACTCACGGTAGCAACCACAGACCTTATAAGAATATAAGCTTTAAGGACATGCCAAAGATTAAACTAGAAAGTTAGAACAATCTATGGCCTCGTTTGGGAAATTAGCTATTTTGGTTTTGAGCTATTTTAATAGGTTAAAATTTTTGTGTTTGAGAAAGTAATTGGATATTTTTGTAGTTGAATGTGATATTTGTGAGATAAAAAGTGAAATGATTATAAGTTTGATGTGACATTTTGTCTTATTAATTATTTTAACTTATTTTATCTTTTTGTAAATTTTAGCCCAAAAAAAAGCTAAAACCCAACTTGCCAAACAGGGCCTATAAGTTGATGGGGGTAATTATAGAAAAAAATAAAAATAAAAAGAGAAGAAAACAACTGAAAATTTGACATTTGTAACAAAATAATAATTTTTTAACTTTTAATTTTATCAATTTAAATCCTTAACTTTTGATTTATTTTCAATCTAAACTATCAACTTATTTTTGTTAAGCAAAACCAACGAGACAAAAATATTTTAGCCTTTAAATTAAATGTAAATGTATATAAACTGTTTGAAATAGACTTCTCGTTGAGTTTAACGACTAAAATATTATTTTTTTCGTCAGTATTACTTAACGGAAATAGATTGATGATTTAAATTGAAAACAAATTTAAAATTTAAATTAACAAAATTAAAAACTTAAGATTTATTTGATTACAAAAGTCAAAACTTGAGTTTTTTTTATAATTACCCCTCAGTTGATTAATTGGGAATGCTAAAATTCTTAGGAAGCTTAACTATGTGGGTGTTTGGGAAATTATTTTAGTAGGTTTTTTTAGTTTTTGATTATTTTTGGAGGAAATTTTTTTTTGTATTTGGGAAGAAAGTTAGATTTTTTTTTATAGTTGGATGTGATGTTTGTGAGAGAAAAAGTGAAATGATTATGAGTTTGATGTAATATTTTGTCTGAATTTATTTTTTTTAGTTTTTTAACCTATTTCGTCTTTTAGCAAAAAACTAACAAAAAAAACAAAAAAAAAATACTCTTCCCAAACACCGCCATAGGCAAATGATACAAAACAAAGCAGCATCATGTGTCCTTTAGTAGGATCTTAACAAAAGAGTGGCAAATGACATTTTTTTTAATTCAAAGGAATTAGAAGGGACTAAGCCCTAACAAAAGAGACCCCAGAGAGGTCAACTAACAATAGACCCCCATATGTTAGGGGCTGATCTAGAACAATCAGGGGTTCATCTTGAACAGTTTCTATACTAGCTTAATCTATCTGCCCATTGATTTCCTTCCTTGCAGATATGCTTGATTGATTACACAGTTACATCTTCTCCTTAAGGCTCTGCACTCGTTCACTATTTCCTTGAAAACAAGGAGAGTGGATTGGGCGTAAGTTTTCTCTGAGTCTGTTTCAATTTCTGTTTGGTTGTATCCTTCCTCATGAATGATAGTGAGACCTCTGTAAATGTCCCAAATTTATGTGCAAGGCTACTGTAAAATCCCTAATGTTGTGTTTGGTTGGAGGATTTGAGGAGGGATTTGGAAAGGGAAATGGAAAAGGTAGGTGAAATATGAAGAAAACATGCCTAAATTTCACCTAGTTTCACACACCTTTTCCCTTTTCCTTTCCAAATCCCTCTCTAAATCCCCCAACCAAACACAGCATAAATAACATTTTAACAATGTATAAACTCTATTACTCTTCACAGAAAACTCAAAACATAGCAAAATAACAAAATCAAAGCCCACGTCTCTATAACCACTCTTTTCAATATCATGCACATCTTTGCACATACAACACCAATACCAAGCCACAACATTTGGATGGACAAAATTATACATAAAATTTTTCCCAAGCGGTTGTCTAAAAAAAAAAATAAAATAAAATAAAATAAAATAAAATAGAAATAATAAAATAAAATAAAAAACCAAACCGTAGAAGGGGTTTAGAGCTCTAAATCCCTTTTCAAAAAAAAAGGAAACACCTGAGCTATCCTAAAAAGCACGACATAATGACTTGACTTCAAATATCCTAAACTTAGACCATGTTTCATATCGCAATGAAGTGATTAAAAATGAATACATTATGTAATATTGTAATCAAGTCCATTGTCAAGGTTCTTCCAAATATCTTCCATAAATCTCTGAACCAAACTAGCCACCCTCCCCATGTGAAACCATATTAGCAACTACCACCCTTCCATAAGTCTTCAAATTATACAATTGTTTGTTATTATCTCATTTCAAATTAAAAATCGCCATAAAATTTGTAATTTTAAATGTTAATGTGGCAGATATGTGATTTTTTTCACAAAGTGATCACGAAATAAATATCTATTAATTTATGTAATAAACAAAAACCAAATCTGGGATCTTTTTATATATTGGATATGGAATGAAATTTATGTACTTGATTTTTATTTATGTTTTTGTGTAACCACAATTATGTCCAATGCAAGGATTTTTGACCCCATTCTAGGAACATAAATCTGAAAATCAAGTGACAACCCTAATTACATAATTCTAGTAAACCGAATGAACCAATAAAAGGTGAAACTGAATCGATCATGTAAGAAACAAACCCAATGAACAACTAGGCTACCTGTCAAGGTTAGCCACGATTGCCCTTCTTCGACAACAAACCCAATGAACAACTAAGCTACCTGTCAGGGTTAGCCAAGATTGCCCTTCTTCGACAATTATATACAACAAAATCATGGAAAAGATCAAAGTAAAAACTAGAAGAAAAAAAAAGAAGTTACGTATTATCTTCTATCTTACTCTAAAAGTGGGTCAAGGTATAGGTGGGTGTGTACGTTACAAAAATACATATATATGTATTACATTGTGAATTTAAAGTAGGACAACTGGACAGTGGACAACCCACAAATCCTTGGTCTTGCATATATAATATTACTAGTGTGTATTTATTTGTTGGGCAATACTAAGTATCATGAAATTTTTTTTATGAAAATGAGGATGAAAGATTTATGACTCTTGGATTACACTTAAAATAAAACACAACACACTAATCAAGATAATTCAAGGGTCATAATTCTTTCATGATCATTTTCATAAAAGTTTTTTTAATGATTCTTAGCTTTTCTCTTATTTGTTTATGAGTTATGCTAGGGACCCAAACAAATTATTAAATTTTCTACCAAATCTCTCACATGGGTGTGGGATCCACACACATTTGATTTGTGTGAATCCCACACCCCCACGTGAAAGGTTTGGTAAAAAATTTAATAATTTGTTTGGGGTGCATAGCATTTTTCTTTGTTTATCCCTTATCCTCTAGGAGAGATGTGGGCCCGTAGTGGATTCTTCATCACAATAGTGAATTCGTGTTCCTCTGATAAATCAACATCCCCAACATTTCCATCCGCAGCCGTCCATTCAAAATACCAAACCAAATTGGCGACAAAATATTCCAAGTGAAGCAGAGCCAAACCACTTACCGGACAAATCCTCCTCCCGGCCCCAAATGGCACCATCTTGATCTCCTTGTTCCCTGTTATATCGAACACCACCGTCGCTTCCCCTTTCCCTTCCCCTTCCCCTTCCCCTTCTCCTCCATTGCCACCGCTATTTATCAAGAACCTCTCGGGCTTGAACTCCATGGGCTCATCCCATACCTTCGGGTCCCACCCCATCTCCGCCAACATGAAATTTATCATTGTACCCTTGGGCACCTCATAGCCTTCCAACTCCACATCTTTAGTCACCGTGTGGGGCAGTGCGAAGTGTCCCGGTGGATGACGCCTCAATCCTTCCAATACTACAGCTTTTAAGTACGACATCTCATGTAAATCCTTCTCATTTATTACGAGAAGGATTTCCTTTTCTTTTTTCTCTCCTCCTCGGGACAGGGGCGGTGGTGGGCCCACTACCCCAATAATCTCTTCGTACAACTTGGACTGAACCCGAGGGTACTTCACCAGGTTAGCCATGATCCACTGCAAAGCAGTCGATGTAGTATTAGTGCCCTCGTTGAGAAACTCACTGCATAGGCTCACCATCTCATCGTTGTTGAGCTTTCTCTTCTCGTCGGGCAGTTCAAGATCCACCAACGTATCCACATATGCCACCACGCCCACTTCTTCTTCTTGGTTCCCTTGTCGTCGTTGTTTCACAACGTCGACTCGGGCTTCTATAAGAGGAATCAACACTTCCTCTTGATCCTGGCGCATCCGCAGGAGCTCATTCCAGCTGTTGTGAAACACAATCTTCCCTAATTTGGGCCAATAGTTGAGCATATTGAAGCGACTAGAACTCAATAGCATCGCGCGCTGCACCGTCTCGATTTGTGTAATTTGCTTCTCATCAAGCCTATCACCAAAACACATGAGTACTAACAAGCAAAACATAGCGTATTGGAAATGATGCACCACCTTCACGGCTTCCGCCGAAGAGTCCTTGGTGGAATCGAGAAGATGGTGGATCAGAATTCCAAGGACCCATTGCCGGGCGTGGGTATAAGATTTGACGCGGGAGGGGTGGAGGATCTCGGAGGTGAGGTTGCGGCGGAGGAGGCGCCAGGTGGGGCCGTAGGCGGCGGAGCTGATAGTGTGTTGGTTGCTGCTGAAAATCTTGACGGTGGCGAGGGCCTTGGGGCGATCTGAGAAGTGGGCACCGTTTTGAATAAGGGCATGGTGGGCGATGGAGTGGCTGCTGACGAAGATGGCGGGACGATGCCCTATCCGGAGGGTGATGATGGGGCCGTACTTGCCCCGGAGGTCTCGGAGACCTTGTTCAATCTCCGAAAATGATTTGCGAAGCCATAGGAAGTTTCCAATCACTGGTACAGTGGCTGGGCCCGGAGGGAGGTTCTTGTTGGATGAGGAAGAAGATGGGGAGAGGATTAGATTGAAGAGAGATTTTATGAGAGCAGAGATGCATAGGGTAGTTACGATGATGAACCAGGTGTCCATCTCTCCTTTGCTTTTATTTTTTTCTTCCCCTTTTCTCTGTGTCTCTGTGTGCGTGGAGTGGAGAAGTGAGATGAAGGGTGGATTTATTCAAATCGACAAACAAACAAAAAAAAAAGGGGTGAATTTGACTTCTTGTGTTCTATATTTCTTGCTCACTAAGGCACCGTTTGGGAGGATGGTTTGGAAATTTTTTTTGACTATTTTAATCACAAAAGATAAAATAGATTATTTTAACCATAACAAATAAAACATTACATCTAACCTATAATCATTACACTATTCTCTCACAAAAAAAATTAAAAACCAAAAAGTCTTTTTCAAATCAAGTTTTTTAGCTCAGACTAAAATAGCTAAAAAACTGAAAAACCAACTCAGTTTCCAAACGAAACCTAAGATAAAGAGTGTAAATATTCGCGATTATAAAAACAAAATATCATGAAATAAATTATAATTTTTTTTTATTTTTTAAATTAGAATGTAATATTTTATTATATGTATAATTCAAATATTAAGAATCTTTTATGATTATATTTATGATTCCTAATATTATTCTTAAAAAAATTACTTAGCCTCCGTTTGGGAAGTGGGTTGATTTTTTGACTTTTTAACTTTTTTGGTTATTTTAATCTGGGCTAAAAAGCTTGATTTTGGAAGAATTTTTTGACTTTTTGACTTTTTTTATGAGAGAAAAATGTAACAATTATGAGTTAAATATGATGTTTTATTTATTATAATTAAAATAATCTATTTTATTTTTTTTAACTAAAATAGTCACAAATCAACTCATCAAACGAACCCTTACCCTAACTCTTCATACTAGCTTCAATAGCTGGACTTAGGTCTAACCTAACGCTTATTCAAGTTAAGTCACCCTATGCAGGGTGTGGGCAAGGATTGAGTAAAACTTTGTAGTTATTTGGCATGTGTTAAAATAATACATATTATTTTAGCATATCATTTTATTTGAGTTACAATCATCTTATTTAGATCACATTATTTTTTATTCGAGTCACATCATCTCTTTGTAATATCACTTCAAACCCAACTCATATTTTATATTTTTTCATAAAAAATCAAAAAACAAACGAATTTAGCACTTTCCAAACAACCCCTTTGTTTAACTGGAATTTTTTTTTTTTTTTTGGGGGGGTGATTTATGAGAGCAGAGATGCATAGGGTAGTTACGATGATGAACCAGGTGTCCATCTCTCCTTTGCTTTTATTTTTTTCTTCCCCTTTTCTCTGTGTCTCTGTGTGCGTGGAGTGGAGAAGTGAGATGAAGGGTGGATTTATTCAAATCGACAAACAAACAAAAAAAAAAGGGGTGAATTTGACTTCTTGTGTTCTATATTTCTTGCTCACTAAGGCACCGTTTGGGAGGATGGTTTGGAAATTTTTTTTGACTATTTTAATCACAAAAGATAAAATAGATTATTTTAACCATAACAAATAAAACATTACATCTAACCTATAATCATTACACTATTCTCTCACAAAAAAAATTAAAAACCAAAAAGTCTTTTTCAAATCAAGTTTTTTAGCTCAGACTAAAATAGCTAAAAAACTGAAAAACCAACTCACTTTCCAAACGAAACCTAAGATAAAGAGTGTAAATACGAAATGAATAATATTCGCGATTGTAAAAACAAAATATCATGAAATAAATTATAATTTTTTTTATTTTTTAAATTAGAATGTAATATTTTATTATATGTATAATTCAAATATTAAGAATCTTTTATGATTATATTTTTAATCCCTAATATTATTCTTAAAAAAATGGTACTTCCACTTAGCCTCAGTTTGGGAAGTGGGTTGATTTTTTGACTTTTTAACTTTTTTGGTTATTTTAATCTGGGCTAAAAAACTTGATTTTGAAAGAACTTTTTTGAATTTTTGACTTTTTTTGTGAGAGAAAAATGTAATAATTATGAGTTAAATGTGATGTTTTATTTATTATAATTAAAATAATCTATTTTATTTTTTGTAACTATTTTAGCCCCAAAATCACTCCTCAAACACCACCTTAAAATTACATAGTTGATTGGTATGGAAGGTTCAAACAAAAAGATTTTAACAAAAGATAGAGCTGCATACGAAAGCAAAAGAGGGATGGAGAAGGAAACAAAATTTCTTTTGACGTTGACAATTCAAATAGAATTAATGAATATAATTTTGATTTTAGTAAAAATCGAAAAATAAGGAAACATTATAAATAAATGATATTTAGGAAAAGCAATAGCAAATCAATGGTGAAGATATTAGGGTAAATTGCACTGACACGTCTTAATGTTGTCTTTCATACAAAGGGTCCTTCACGTTTTAAAAATTACATTTATCTCTTCAAAGTTTAAACTTTTATTAGAATTTAATTCTTTCGTTAGTCAACCGTTAAGTCAACTAACAAAAAAAATTAATATAATAAATTAATTTTTTAAAATATCTATTTTACTCTTATTAAAAAAAAAACTTTTTTTAAACAAAAATACTAGATGAGTAAAGAAAATATGTAAAGAATTACAAAAATTCATTTAATATTAATACATATATTATTATACCATAAAACATTTAGGTGATACTATGGTACACAAACTTTTGTGGTGATAATTATTCCAAATATTATAATTAGATCATTTTTTTAAAAAAAAACAACAACAGATAGACATAAATTTGAATAGATAGACAACAAAATGTGAACAGATAAAAAAAATTGAACGGATAGTCAAAAAAAATTGAATAGATAGAAAATAATTTAAATAGAAAGATATAAATTTTGAACAGATAGTCAACAAAAAGTCAACAGGTAAAAAAAGTCAACAAATAAATTGAGGAGTGAAATTGGAAACAAAATGTCTTCCTAAAATAACAAAATGACTTTTCACTAAATTATTTCATAAAAGGTAGACCTTTCACTAACAAAAAATATTCATCAGACCTAATACCTTATACCCTCCTTAGATTGGATTTATCACCAATTTACTTTTCAATTTATCGTATTTGTCACTCAAAAAACATATATATATATATATATATATGCACGACAATTGCAGTTTTAAAAATAAACCATATTTTTTTTTTTTTTTGTGACAAACTTAATAAATTGAATAGGGGTTATTTGAGATGTTCTAAATAAGTGCACTTTTTGATTTTTTATGAAATATGGGTTGGGTATGGATTGGGTTTGGAGTGATGTAGTAGAGATGTGATGTGACTTAAATAAGATGATATGACTTAAATAGGATAGTGACTTTTTGACTTTTTTAGTATATGTCAAACAAGGCCTAAGTTACAATTATCAGATCGATCTAATTTTTTATGTAGATAAATCATAGAAAGTGTTTGATGAAATGATGTATGATGAAATGGACAGTTTAAATTTTAAAACGTGTTAGGCCCTATGGATCCAAATAACGCCATTCAGTCCAAATTTTAGAGTGAAACGGATCCTCCTCATTCATAAATATACATATTTCTTACTTCTTTTCAAAGTATGGAGACAAGGACCTACTCCCAACAACAAATGAAATTCACGAAAATGTTGTCATCCAATAACAATTTTAAAACCAAAATGATAATTAGATATGTACAAGAGTGAAATGACGTGAATGAAAAATTCCTTGCTTAATCATTGCTGCAATCTTGATGCAGTTTTAGTTTTAAAAACAAAATATGGGTTTCTTAGAGAGATAGAGAGAGAATGAGTCCAGAACTTAAAAGTCAATCATTTTGTTTGGATATTTTTGTTAAGAAGAGTGAATATGAGATAATTCAATTAATTAACATCTAATGAATTGAACAATTCAAAGATGCTACAGGGAAGAAAAGTCGGCCAAGGCGGGCTTTAAGTGTTATGCTAGAACTGACGAAAACTGGATTTTGATTTGCTCAAAACACAGAGCCTGTGGTCTGTCTTTGTTCCATCAAGGATGGCTTTGCCTTCAACAACACAATCATGGATGAATAGCACTAATATCCCTAATTTTGCTCACGACATCCCTAGTAAGATCACAACACTCATGACTCCAAAATCAAAAGTTCCCCAAAAAAAATAAAGAAAGAAAATAATAACTGTTATTTTGTTCTTGTTAATTTTCAGCAGCAGCAGAGAGAGACATAAGTTGTTACCTGCCACTCCACATAGCCATACTCCAAGGCAACTGGGAGAATGCCAGTAAAATTTTTGAAAATGACCCCATCGCAATCACAGCCCATCTCTCCACCCTCTTGGAGACGCCTCTTCTCGTGGCGGTTAAGGCAAATGCGGGGGATCCTGTTTGTCAGGAAACTAGTGGCGTTGATGAGGCCAGAGGCACTGGCTTTGACTGACTACTTTGGCAATACAGCACTTCATGCAGTTGCTGTGCTTGGCAATATTATTGAAGCCAAGTTGGTTGTGGAGAAAAACCCAGACTTCCCTAATATCTGGAACAATGATGGCTCTCTGCCTCTCCACTTGGCTGCCATGCATGGTCAGAGGAAGATGACTCTATTCTTGCTGTCTGTCACCAGAGATGACGAGGAATCGAAACCTTATGAAGGCGAAGCAGGTGCCACGCTCATGCGTTTTGCCATAAATGTTGGATTCTACAGTGAGTATTATTAGCAATACTTACCCTCCGTTTGTTTTGGCGGAACACATCCTAAAAATGTCCTTTCAGTATATAGGTTTTGTTGGTGATAATTACAAATAAAACACTAGGAAATAGAAATTACAATAATTATTGAAAGGGCTGAGGCGCGAAAAATTCGCTCTCTTTAAGGAGATTCAAGCCCTCTGAGGTTAGGCAATGTCTCACACCGGTGCAGCAGAAAAAACCTTAACTTGTCCCCTCAAGATACAACAGCCCGACTAAGTCGTATGGTTAACCAATACTGCACAATTGGTTGAACCCAAAGCTTTATCACATACACCTTTTTTTATTTGCCTGATAATCTCACTCAAGACATAACAACACAACCAAAACTTCTTCTCTCTAAAGATAGGACATAAGTTAATATATATATAGAAATCAAAATTAGTTAGACAAGTTCTTGGTGGGGAAGAAACGGAACAATGATGGCTCTCT